TACTTGGATACTCATTCAGACTATTGATTGATGAGGTGGCAGTAGAGGAGGGAGCCCGAAGCAGGAGTGGGCATTTTACTTCCTCTCCTTTGTCTCTTCTCCCTCCTCCCTCTTCGTTTGTGTATGATATCTCACCTCATTCTGTCTGATCACGATTTTTGACTATTTGTAATTATCAGCCGATGGACATTTTTCTGGACTTGCATTGTTGACAACTGTCTCACGATCTGGGTTCATTACAATTTGGTATCGGATCTAATCTCCTGAAGTCGACACATGTGGCTCGCAAGTAAGAGGTTGAGTATGTGATGAGGTGGCAAGGGGTATTGACGAGGTACATACCTGTTCGGTAAGACGACATTGTCGGGGATTGCTGACGTGGTACACACTTCACGGGCAAGAAGACATTGCCGAGAGTGCAGACGAGGTGCAGACTTCACTGGCGAGAGGAAGTCCCTACCAGGCTACTGACGTGGCAGAAGGGACTGCCATTGGAGATACCGCATGCCAACCTGGATCGCGAGAGTGACATCGCGATCCCTTGCTGACGTGGCATATGTTGTGCCACGTTTGAAGACCTTGTTGCTGATTGTTGACGTGGCACTTCTTGTGCTGCTGACAAGCGACAGAGTCTACCGCAGGTGCTGACGTGGCTTTGGGGACAAGACTGACTGCTGACGTGGCTGGAAGAGTCATCACACCTGTCTTACGAGGTGGTGGCTATCTGCTGACGTGGCAACAAGCCCTTAGCTGATGTGGCATGATCTGACTGACTGGAACGGCGACAGGACGAGAACTTACCTAAGATAACAAGTGCATATAACAATAGTGTCCACACGTCTACTGGACGAACCCCAAATGCACTTCACAAATGGTGGAAGCCTAAACGTCCCATTGATGCACTGAACCGGGACCAGTTCCTTAGGTTGCCCCCAGGGACCCCGAAAATATGCAATCTTGTTTCAGGAAGACATTCAGAGAGTTAAAGATAATCTAAGGAAAGCTCAACTACGAATGATTGAACAAGCCAACAAGCACCGTCGACCGTCTACATTTAAAAAAGGTGATTTGGTTTGGGTAAAATCTAAAGAGTTTTCACTAGAAGAAGATGTCACCCAAATATTGCTACCTCTCTATTTTGGACCCTGGGAAGTTCTCAAGGTAATTGGAGATGCAGAGGGACCGTCTTATCGAGTGGATATTCCCCCTCATCTCAAAACATACCCTGTCTTTCATGCGTCCAAATTGTTGCCTTACGTAGAAGGAAATGAGTTTCCTCACAGACCCTCTATGATTCCACTA